TATATTAAAGAAAGCACCATTTAACATAAAAGAAGTGCAATTTACTGTAACTTAATGATGAATCTTGACGTTTTATTTATAATCAAGACGACCAAGTTATAAAGCCAAAAAAGTGTATTATAACCATATATTTGTTGCAATAACAAGCCTAAATAATAAGTGTAACATCGCAAATAAGTTTTTGAAAAATAATATTTTTTTCTCGATTTCGTTTAATTTTTAATAGGTAGCTTTTTAATTAATTTTAATATATTTTTTAAAGTCAAACTAATAATATAATTAAAAATTTAAAAAGAATTCGTTTTGTCTGCTTTACTAAGCAGACATTCATCTTTACTACTATGTTTAGTTCGATCGACAGAAAAAAACTGAACGCTGTTTTGTAACATTTACTTTATATTTATTTATCACAACTCAAATTTTCTTACTAAATGCGTAATAGTACAACTCACTATAACTCTTCTCCGTCCTTCCCCGTCCAAACGTGTCGCACTCATATGTTTCCATGGGAACATATGAGTGCGACACGTTCGGACGGAGAAGGCATTTCTGAGCACGAGTGTACATTAAATTAAATTAAACCGTCATCTTTATTATATATTCACGTATTTGTAAAACAAAATTTAAGTCGAAATATTTAAAATTACCGTCGTTGCACTCCTTAAAGCGCAAGCCCGTCTTTTTAGGTAACCCAACGGCGTACACGAAATCTCACGTCTGGGTGATCAAAAACAAAATATGGTTGTCATTTACATAGTATTGACTCTCGTCTGAAAAAGAATTTTGTCAATATATTTTCTTTTATTTAATTGTTATAAACAATAATAAAATCAAATGTAAAAAAAATAGAAAAAATTTCAAGAATTTTTTTTTCGGCGCCAAAATTTTTTAGCGATAAAATTCTTTGTCAGACGAGAGTCAATACTATGTAGATGACAACCATATTTTGTTTTTTCTCTTGTCACAGTAGACTTTCCCCTTAAATATTTTGTTGTAATTGATCTTCCGGATCAAAAAAACTCGATTTGCCACTTGATAGGCTTAAACAAGGATATGGATTTAAAAAATGTTTTATTTTATTTTTATTATTTTTCATGGGGGCCTGACTGACGTGAAAATTCCCTGTTTAAACGCAAATCGAATTTTTTGATCCAGGAGCTCAATTTTTAAAAATCAACTTTTAAAGAGTTTTAATTGCAAATTTTAAAAATAACTGAATTATCAAAAATTCAAGTACATCCAAATATTGATAATTTTTAACATTTTAGAGAAAAAATCATGTTCAACATTTTAATTAAAATTCAATTATTTTTGATAAATTACATTAAAATATTTTTAAAAACTAATTCTTAGAATTGGTTTTTCATACTTATTTAAGATTCAATTATCTTCAAACAAAGAAAATAAAAAAATTTATGAAAATTTACTTTTAAGACTTATTAAAATTTTGGAGAAATCGAGGTCATATTTATTATTAAAATTCTTCAAAAATTTGATTATTTTTATTTATATTTCTCAAAAATTTAATTATTTTTAGAAGATTTTACCAAATTTCAATTGTTTGGAAATTTTTCAATTGAAATAATTTAGAGATGAAGTTTAGTTGCACATTGTAGGAAATAATTGAATTCAGAAAGGGTTATAATTGTAATTTTTAGAAATTATTAAACTTCATTTATTTTACTTATTTTCCGTAGACCTTCAAATTTTCCTGTGGAATGAATTTTGTCAGGGAAAATTATTTTAATATCAGTAAATTGTCAGGGAAATTGATAAACTGAAACTTTTGACCACCCTGTAAATATTCTAAAATAAATACTTGAAATTATAGAACCTGACCTGACAAAACATTTCTCCACACAAACGATGCTCGCTATACTATAAGTATACTTTAAAATATAAAATAATTTAGAAATGTGCATAAATCCTGCAATACATACTGATAATTTAATCAAACTGCAAGTCAGTTGTAATGGCTTACCCTTAAGTAAATCTGGAGATGGTCAGTTTTTGGTAATATTAGGAAAAGTACACTTCTTCCCTGATGTTTACAAGGTATTTCCAATTTGCATATTTTTTGGGCAAACTAAACCTAATAGTGTTAAAGAATATTTAACTCCATTCGTTGAAGAATTTAATCGATTAAATATTGATGGTATCATGATAGGTCAACGTTTTGTTAAATGTTAAAATTAATTAAATAACGCAGGCACACAAAAAAAGTGTCGTGGCCGAGACACTACACTAGTATATTCCCATGTATTTTTTCACGCTGAATCCGAATTCAAACTCAAAAAACCGAATTAAGATGAAAAAAAATTTTATGACAGTATACTACTATATTCCCATGTACTTTTTCCCGCTGAATCCGAATTCGCAGTCAGAATTTACAAATTTAATCAAAATTTTGAGATAAGCTCAAAAAATTGTTAAAAAACGCGATTAAAATTTAAAAAATTTATGTCAAGAATTTCTACTTTTCTTGCTTTTGAGAGAGGTAACTCTAGATTCGTACTGAATACCAAAACTCTTCATTATTACAACATAAGGTTTCGACAAAAATTCTCTTTTACATGCATGTTTTTGAGCACTTTTAATGAAATCCAAAATTTTGAGCCACTTTAAAAATTCTGACTTCGGAGTCAGCGTGAAAAAATACATGGGAATATACTTTCGCAGTGTCACAGAAGAAATTTTTCATTTTCGTCATTTTAATTCGATTTCTTGAGTCGTTTTTTGGATTTTGCTCAAAATTTTTAGCACATTTGTCAATTCTGACTTCGAATCCGGATTCAGAGGGAAAAAATACATGAAAATATGCTATTGTTATGTCACAAAAATTTATTTTAATTTGTTTAGTTCGAATTCGTTTTTTGAGTCGTTTTTTAAGTATAACTCAAAAAAGAACCAATTTGAGCATTTTTACTTCGGATTCAGCGGTCAAAAATACATAGGAATATACTAGTGTAATGTCTCGGCCACGACACTTTTTTTGTGTGCCTGTGTAATTAAAAGAATTAAATATGTTAAAGTTAAAATGTATAATTTTTGATACACCTGATCGATCTTTTTTAAAACATAAGGGTATTCAGGCATGTGAAAGATGTAAAATTCTTGGCGAAAGAGTTGAACGAAGAATAGTTTATTCGTCTACTGATGCAGTAAAGAGAACGAATGAATCGTTCAGAAATTTTTGTCAACCTGAGTATCATTATGGACCTTACCTTTATTAGAAATTATTCCTCATATAGATATGGTGTCCATCTTTATTTTGGATTCGATGCATCTTTTCTTTTGTGGAAACATGAAGAAATTATTAGATTATTGGTTAAATGACAATTTAAATTATGCAGATTAAGTGGCAGAAACAGAGCTAAATTGTCCAGACGTTTAGAATTTCTTAAAACACAGATTCCAATTGAATTACAACGAAAAACCAGATCGACTTCTTTTTCCGTAAAGTGGAAAGCTAAGGAACTGCGGTTTTTTTTATGATTTGTGGACCAATAATCTGAAAAGACCTTTTGCCGGAAAATATGTATGATCATTTTCTTTTGTTACATGTTGCTTCCAGGATCTTACATTCTGATTTTTTTATTGGACTTATAATGATCATGTAAAAATGTATTTAACAATTTTTTTACGGCTATGAAAGATTACTATGGAGTTACGTCTCAAATTCTAAAAGTAAATCACCTCATTCACGTTGCCGATGACGTTATAACTGCGGACTGTAACCTTAATTGCATAAGTGCTTTTTCATTCGAAAATTTTCTCGGAAAAGTCAGACAAGAGTGGTTGGAGCGAGACCAACCAAGAAGAAAGAACCTCCTCATTAGTATAGCTGGCTCCTCAGAAAAGAACGGGTTTACTGAGGAAGTGAAAAGAGTGGTAGGTGACATGGGTAAGGTGCAGAACGCTGACCGAAAGGTTACTCTGAAGATCCGCGACCTGGATTGCCTTACCCAAGAGGACAAGGTGCAGGAGGAACTATTAGGTCTCATAAAGGAACCGGCAGGAAGCAGAAAGTAGAAAGTTAGAAAGCAGAAAGTTAGGTCCTTGGACCTAACAAGCGGGGAATGAAACTCGCAGTTGTTGTCACCGATCAGGATCAGGCTAAGAAGCTGGAGGTGCTCGGACGCATAAAGGTTGCTTTTATGTCGTGCCCGATCAGAAGGAGGTTTATGATAGTGAAGTGTCGCCGATGCCTCGGCTATGGTCACCTAGCAAGAGAATGCAACACGACGGATAGATCGACTGCGTGCTTTAGGTGCGAAGAAGTCGATCACAAGGTCGTGGATTGTAAGAGGAGCTACTTGCTTCTTCTGCAAGGAGAAGTTCCCAGAAACGAAAGACGTTCATCACGTTGCGAGAAGTGGAAATTGCAGGGTCTTCCGAACCGACCTTGAGGTGGCGAAGAAGACTTTTGCAAAGACCAAAAGTAGGAAAAAAGCATAATTTCACTTTTAATTTCACACTTTAAATTATGTGTCTTTAATCAGCTTTTAATTTATTTGTTCTATTTAATTTAACTTATTCTGTGATTTTTTATTTGTCCTTTTCCAATTTTATCTTTTGACCTTCATATATATGTTTATTTTTGTTTTTATGTCCGTTTACAAGATTATCTTTTGACTTTTAACAATTTTATATTTTAAAATTTGGTTCTTTATTCTGTTGTTTTGCTGTAAATTACGCTTTGACATGGAAATAGTTTTAATTTTAACTATTGACGCAGGAGACCCGTAGGGCAAGAACAATTTTTAAAAACAATTGTACTTTTATTTTTTTACCATAAATTCGAAAAATTTTATTTTTAAATCATTCTTCCTTTATGAAAAATATTTTAATTGAAAAACGATTTAAGTGGTATAAAGTCATATTTCGCAACATATTTGTAAAATTATTATTATTTGATTTTTAAAGATTTAATTTTTCTTTAATTTATTGGTTAATTATAATTAATAGATTTATTAGTTTTTCTTAAATTTTACCTATATAAAGAAGTGAAATTGTCTATAAAACGAACATAATTTTCAACTTGTTTTTATTTCTAATCATTGTTCTAAACAGTAAAAACACCTTTTACTTTTAAAAAATTAAAATTTAAACTATTTAATTTTTAATAAATTTCAATCTAAGCGCCATATCTGTTCCTTTATTTCTTAAAACTGATGATAAGAATTTGAAAATCTTGAACTGCTTTTGCGCTTGTCTACTAATATGATTTGCTCACTTTGTATATTTAATTTCTGCCCCGTTCCTTAAATCCAACTCAGTTTTTGTATTAAGTGTTTCTGGGTCCAAGCGGGAGACATATTTCTTTTTTCACGTGTGCATCAGTTCTGTGAAACGTGTGAAACGAAGATTAACGAAAATATATTGCAATTTCCAAATATCAATGAAAATCCATTATTACTAAAGTGATCGGTATTTCTTAAAGAGAAGACAACTGTAAATATTCATACTAAAAGTATATTAATAGGCCCATAATTGTAGTTTAAACACTAAAACTTATAGAAGTTAGAATTGTTACTTTTTTAATACAACAACAGCTAAGAATGTTTGCTAATTCACTTACTTGCTCGTTATTCTATTCACTCGTAGTTTATGAATTAACTGAAAGTTAATTTTATTATTCGTAGTATTGAAAAATGACATCAAGAAAAGGAAAAATAATTAAAAAATACTTGCTTTTCGAATTCATATGTTCTGATAAAAACAGTGTAAGTAGTGTTAAGGATATCGACTTCGCATGCAAGCATTGGATTTTCTTCGACAATGAAGAGAATGGGCTTCTATGCCAATTTATGCCACCATCTTATACAGATTATACACCTTATACACCTTATCAAAGATTATTGACTGATTTATTATAGGCTGATGCACCAGCACCCGCAGATTGGCCAGCTTATCCAATCATTTTGAAAGGTCATGCAGGTAAATAATTAATTTTTTAAAAAAAATGAGTAAATATTTTTAATGTGAAAGTGTGTTTGTTTATTTTATTTGTACGTTAGTTGACTATTTCTAATAATGGTTGAATTTTTTCAGCAACCTTTGAAGAGACTTTTCTGAAGATAAAGATTTTTAGAAACAGAAAAATTTGATTATACCACACTGAAAGAATTTTGGGTAGGCTGCAGGCTTCACATGGGTATAGCAGCCCTTGAGGAGTTGCTGCTTTCTTTTCGGGAGTAGATTCTCACCTATTTGAGGTGACAAAATTATTTCTAAACTTTTAAATCTTATAAATATTGTTTCAATTACAAAACGTAGTGTAATATTTAATTTGCTAATATTACTTTTGTATTAAAATTTGTAAATAACTATGATTAAAACTAATATAATTTCAACTTAAATGTAGTTCACAATTAATACTAATAAAAATCTAAAAGGGTACGCTTCTTTTACACTAGTAGGGTAGCAGCTAGTTTTACTTGCTAGTTCCCGACTAGATATTCTTGACTAGTACCCGATCTGATGACCGTTATGAAAGTAGTTGGGTTCCAAATGTTTTCCCTAATCAGTGCCCCACTACGGATAGGGAATTCTGACTAGAGCCCCATTAAATTCCAATCTTAATTTCTACATGGGGTGTTGGAAAACGAATAAAAAATATCTGCTTGTCTTTTACAATTATTACGGTTGTTCGGGACGACCAAATTGTCAGAATGACCGATCTGTAGTCAACAATGTATAAATAATTTTTCTATAAACTAGTTGTATGTATTTTTACTATTGTAGCAAATTGATATAGAAAGACATTAGTTATACACGAATATATTTATTTCTAATAATAATATAAAAATTATGGAATGAAATTGTTATACAATTTTTTTTGCACACAAATAAAAAATATTATAAATTTATTAAAATTTTATAAAATGCTGAGAAGTACTTTAAATTATAAATCAACTTTCATTAAACAACAATTTAAAAATTGTAAAATGGAATTATTTAAGAATTCACTGAAGTGTTTTTGTGTTCATAGTAAAAAAGGCAGGACTGGCCATGAGCGAATAGAATTGCCTGTGAGTTTCTGCCAATACGTTTTCGAGTGAAAACATTATTTAGGGATACGGTCAATTCTGCTTTCTCACCGTCAATTCTGTCCTCTTGAATCTTTCGATTTCACATTTATTGACTCGATATTAAAAAAAATTTAATAAAAAAATGTAAATAAATTAAATTTGACAGGCAGAATGTGTACTGTTGGTCTAATATCATATGATTTAGGGTATTCTCTAGGTAATAGCCCAACAGTTCACAGTCGAGTCAATAAACGTGAAATCAAACATTCAAGAAGACATTGACTGTGCAAAATGTAAAGTAACATTCGAAGTTTCTTGCTTTGACTGATCGAGTAAATGATTTGATAGTAGATTAACGAGTTTGATACAAAAACCAAGTAAACGTTGATTATTTAAATTCAAACTTACATATAGTATAAATATGAACATGCAAAAGTAATTCGTACTCGATTGTTCTAAAATTTCCCAGATTGTCGCTATGTCTGCTCTACTAATTGGTTCAACAACAAATCCTGGTAACTGACATTCGAAATTAAACCTCAAAAAAGAACTTTTTAATTATGCTAATCGCTGCTTGCATGTACATAAAGTTTATCATTAGTCATTTTTACTATATTTTACAATGTTTAAAATGTTGTTTAAGGATTGTCGAGATGTGTGTTCCAGTAAATCATCTGATGGCTAATTTTCATAACAGAATATCGAAATTAAATTTAAAAGCAGTTAATAATTTCAATTTAATTTTAAAATTGCATGTATAATTATTAACACACCAAAATCATTTGTCAAATGAACTCGATTTATCAAAGTCGAAAATGTTGTTGGTAGATTGTTGACAAGTCTACTCTGGTAAATAGTTCCATAACGAGTACTGATAATAATTAGTACTTGAAATCAAGTATTATGTTAACTATTACTTACACATGTATAATGGTAAAAACCATAAAGTATATTTATACTAAAAGTGTTCAACAACTTTATTTTATTGTCATGTAAAGCGGGTTCAAAGTCCAAGTTTACAAGCTAGGTGACGATAGCAGGTTATTAAATTACAGTATTTATACCAGCCGGGTTACCTAACCTGCAAACTTCGATTTATATTAATGTCACTTTCCATGACAATTTTATTTATATTTAATGGAATGTAAAAATTCTCCAAATTTCTGTTTAAATTTTCTTTTGTAATATTACAATTTCCATCAGCATCTACTTACGGTAATGCACTTAAAATAATAAAAACCAAAGCAAAACAAAGTTTGCTTTTGCATTTGCATTACATTCCGTGGCGTGCTATATGGTGTTGCCCCACCCACGTAAGGAACATTTTATTAATTAGTCAATAAATAAAAAAAAAAATAATAAATAAAATTCATTAAGCCAAAGGTATTCAAAACAAAAAAGAACCCCCTTATGACTTCCCGCGACACTCGACCATCAACCGTCTAAGAACTGATGAAACATTTCCATAGAGGTTCTTAGAGCTATCAAAGATGTTGTCACACAATCTGCCCTAACAAAGCCACATCTCTCGAGCGTGCGGACCGTAAAGTGCGGAAGCGCCCCCCTGGAGCCAACTACTACTGGTGCCACACTGGCAACCCTGTGGAAGATGCCAGCAAGGTGATTTGCAACTGATTGATATTTTTCCTCTTTTTCCCTTTTTGCCTCGAATAAAGATTGCTCGTTTTCGTATCTCACTGTAACGTCAATGACGTACACGGCCTCCTCCTCCACCACGATTAGATCTGGTTTCAGAGGGGCTCCATTTATCACTACTTCAGGCTCTTTCATCACCTTGATGGCACCTCCACGTATATTTATTTTTGAGATTATCAGATCTACTATCTCGTTATGCCTTTTAATTCTATAAGGTTTGCCGAAGGAACAATACCCCAGAACATGTGCGCACGTCTCTGGTCGCGCACGACACCGCCTGCAAAGGACTGCATCAGCGTTAACTTGCGGTCTTCCTCTGTAAAGAACAGATTTCACCCCGCAAGTATTTGATCTCATTTGCAACGCCGTAATGAATATAGAAGGTCTTAATAATTTATAGTTATACAGCCAACAATTGCAGACGGGGTCGCCCACGAACCAAGGTACACCCTGCCCCTGTGAAGCAAGGGCAGCCCAGTGGTGCACCTCATTGGTCTTCAATTTCATTTTAGTTCGATTCAAGATCTTATTATCGAACGGGAATCCAACGCCCATGACCCGAACAAACATCCTGATTGTTTTTAAATTTTCCTCCGAATTAGCCACCTCTCTAGATGTAAGATCTTTAGAGATTGACATTTTAAGCCAACTCTTCAACTTGGCAATGCCAACTATATTTTTTATTCTAGGAAGACCGATACCTCCATCTCTCTTTCTGGAATAAAGCAAACCGTCAGTTGTTGAGGCAAGAAAGACCCATTAATTGCCTTGAATATCATGGAGCATTTGGATCTAGAAAAATAATTCAAAATAAGTATTATTTGTAGGTACGTTAATTTTCTATATTTTAATTATTTTTAAGTTAGGTTGGTAATTTCAAAATATTTACATCACTGAGATCATTATTCTCAAGAAATTTACTAAATTATAAATCTAAATTTTGAACATAATTTTTATTTGCTTGTAGAAAAACGTTTAATTAATTTATTTCCGAATTGACTAAACGTTGATTGACTTGCATGTGACAATTGATACCAAAAATTGAAGAACCTTTAATATTTAAATGTTCTTTTCCATTTAGAACAAACTATTTCCAATAGTCACAGTTTATTGTCGCATAGCTTGTTACCTACAAAATGAATATGGCAATTGTTTAAATTGCATTGTAGAAATGTCAGAAGGAATCGAAGAATATATGAAACGAAAGCTCAATATAGATAATACTTTAGCTGAAATAATCGAGGACAATAATGAATTATACGTAATAGAATATTTTGAAGAAACTCGTCTCGTGTGGTTTTAGCCACAGTTATTGATATACTTCGGCCACCTTACTCATTGATGCTGGTGCTGATATCTGAGAATTAAAGCGACATAGAGGTTGGAAGACGATGCCAGTTGCAAATTGATATGCAGGATCTTCAATTTCTAATAAAAAATAATATTTTCCAAAATCGTTCAGCCCATAGAATTAAAAAAATCTTGCATTCGATAACCGGTCTCCAGATGTACCAAAACAGTCAGCTTTAGTGACGCCACCCACTGTGATAGATTTATCTCAAAAACTAATGCCCGGATCGATTTAAACTTTTAGGAAGGCATTTTTGACATGTTAAGGAGTAAATTTATGCAATAAAAAAAGAAATTGAATTTTTTATGAGAAACCCACCTTAAAAAGATTTAGGTTAAACGAAAATCTGCTATCTGCAGTTAAGACCAATAAATACTTTAAAACTAGGTATGTAGAACCTTTTTGAAAGAGTTTCGAGCATCCGTTCTTATGATACCATTTCTACATACCGAACTTAGGAGCGTTGTAAGTATTCAAATGGATAGATTTTATCATACCAGAAATTCTTGCTTCGTAAACAAATCTTTGTAAGAGACAGTAAATAAAGAAAAAAGTCTACCTCAGATAGGAAAATTGAAATTGAGACATCAAACCAGATCTTCATAACATCTACTTGAGCAAAAGTTACAAGTCAAAAACAGAAAGGTGACCATAACAGAACTTCTTCCTCTAGTATAATTCTACACAATAAACTGTACATAATAAACCGAACATTTTTTATTGTTCTGAAAATCTTTTTGGGTTTACTAGATGAAAAAGGACCTTTCTTCAAAAGGTTTCATGTCCGCTGAAACTTTTTGGAAGTTATTTAAAAATTTATAAAATTAACTCAATGGTGGCCATTTTTCTAAAAAATAAAAAAATGACTATTTTTAATGTGATATTTATTCATGATAAAAGTTTAAAGATTAACTTACTTTGGAGTTATTTAACTTTTCTTAATTAATGATTTGCGGCTCTAGCTACGTAGGATCTATTTTCATCAAGTTTCCAAAGATGACTTTTTTGAATGCCTTCAATCGTAGGTTCTTTTCTCCACTCTATCCAATTTTTCTAAAAAGTTCCATTTTTCTTTTTGGAACATATACCAGACTTATCGCAGTAGTATAGTTTTATACGACAGTTACAAATGTCTTTAACATTATCTATTCATTTCATGTTTATTTTTCTTAAATTGTGGTTAGTTGCATAATGTTTAATGAATCCACCAATACCATCACAAGATTCTTTGCCTTGTCCTGTGGCTGAAAATATTCAATTTATTTTTTTGACGACCTAGTAATTTTATAGTATGGATAAAGGTTTTTAAAATGAAATACTGCTCCATCTGATACATTCGTTATTTCCTCCGCTAACTAACATTGTTCAGTTATTCCAATGTTTCGTGAATTCGATGCTTTGCTACAAGTGCATTAGAGGAATCGTGATTTGCATCGTCACTTACGACTGCAAAACTTTTTTTTAACAATCTCGCCATCGTTTGAATCACCTATTTTGCGCCCTTGATATTAAAACACCTATTAAATAAAACAAATTAAAATAAGTTTATGAAGTTTAAATGTATATACAGTTTAATATTATACAAAAATTTTTTGTTTTATTATTGATTGATTATTTAAAAAAATAAAGTTTTGACCAAAAGAAGAAAAAAGAAATTTTTTTATTTTATATACATAATATAAATTATACGCAAATTGTAGTTTTAATAATTCTGTTCCAACTCAGCATGTAGTTATTGAGAAAAATCTACCATAGGATTGAATTTTCAATTAAATTCAAAACTTTCTATAAAAGGAGACCTGCACCGAATTCTTAATTAAATACAAATTTAAAAATGATAGATAAATTTTTTTAAAATCGAAAAGTGTCGATCGACAGTATATGAAATGTGAGTGTGTAGAGTAAAGAGTAGGGGTGAATTTACAGTCTTTTATTAAATCTAATGTATTGATTAATGTAGCAGGTGTGGAATGAGTAATTGGTTGCTACTGAAAGTTATAACACGATTAGTATATTGTTTTCCTAAAAGACTCAGCAAAATATAAGATAGACTAATTATCTCCAAGCTTAATACTTTTACTTGTTAAATAATTAAAGTATAGTTGTCTCTCAGTTGAGTAACCAACTTATCAAAAAATAATATTGTTTGTTGTTTTTACGACGATAACAAATTTTATATTATTATATTATATATATATATGGGACGTTCCACGTCAACAGAAACAGAGCTGTGGCCAAAAATTGGCGCAATGAAAAAAAACGTTTAAGGGCTTAAAAAATTCTTACACTCGTGTACTTTCAATAACAGGTGGGCGTTTTTGAAAATCCAAAATGGCGGCCTAATTACAAGCGAAGAAGGTCAACAAAATCACAAACCGACAAATAATATCGTTAATAGAAATTGCAAAATTCAAGAAAAAAAATTGAACGAAACTTTTTTAAACGTTTTTGGGGTCGCTTAATACAATTCTTAACTCAGATTTTGATTAGAGTCTGAAAATTCAAAATGGCGGAACCAAAATGGTGGACAATTTTTAAAACTCTTTAAAATCGCTCAAAACTTGTTACTCGGGGGTTTTCGGGGTCGCTGATTACGAATATGACATCGGATTTCAAAAATTCAAAATGGCGTATCCAACATGGCCGACATTTTTCTTTAAATTCATCGTATTCGCTCAAAACTTGTTACTCGGGGGTTTTCGGGGTCGCTGATTACGAATATGCCATCAGAGTTAAAAAATTCAAAAAGGCGGATCCAACATGGCCGACATTTTGTTAAAAAATTCATCGATTTCGCTTGAAACTTGTTACTCAGGGATTTTCGGAGTCGCTGATTACGAATATGACCTTAGTTCTTAAAAATTCAAAATGACGGATCCAACATGGCCGACATTCGAATTTAATATTTTTTTAGAAGCAATAAAAAGCTGTTTGTAGAGAGTTAAAGTTTTGTTCTTTCTAGTAGCTGAAGCAAATTCTAGTAGCGTTTAAGTATTGTAATATTTTAACCGTTTTATTTGGTTCAATTATAAATACGGCAATCAAAAAAAAATATCATATCTAATAAACAAAAATATTTGACAGAACCATAGCAAAAACACTATCGCATGTTACAATTGGTTGTACATTGATGTAACGAAGCCTGATAAAAAATCAGTGAGAGAAGCAGGCGCATTGCGCCTACCTCTTCGGGGTTTCGTGGTCTAAAAGACAAAGAAAAAATCATAAAATCAATCAGGAGCTCCACATAATGATTTCAATAACAAGCGTTGCTATGACAATCATTGCCATAGCAACTGTAAACAAAGCAACCATTACCATAGCAACCATTACCATAACAACCAGTACCATAGTAACGGTTTCCATGGCAACGGTTGTTAGGGAAAACTGCGGACGGACACCAGAGTTTCGCTATAAGGGATTCAGTCCTTGCCCGTGTAGAAATTTAACCATGACCCAAATCGGGGCCAGATCTTTTGATCATTGTGTAGGCCATAACATGGCATGAAACACCTTCCCAGATCAGACTTGGGCCCGATCTGGGGAGGTGTTTCATGCCATGTTATAGCCTAAATATGGCAATTTCTACACGGGTGGCCACGAAACCCTAAAAACACAATAGTCAAGAACGAACACAATTCTTTGACAGAACCAGAACAAAAAAAACTACTCCATATCACAATTGGTATTTATCTCTGATCCTGTCACGGATTTATAATTAAACCAAATAAAACGGTTAAAATATTACGATACTCAAACGCTACTAGAATTTGCTTCAGCTACTAGAAAGGCCAAAGTACAAACAGCTTTTTATTTCTTATAAAAAATATTAAATTGGAATACCGATTAAATTGGATCTGACATTTTGAATTTTTTAAAACTAAGGTCATTTTTGTATTCAGCGACCCCGAAAACCCCAGAGTAACAAGTTTCAAACGAATTCGATGAATTTTTCAACAAAATGTCGGCCATGTTGGATCCGACATTTTGAATTTTAAAAACTAAGGTCATATTTATAATCAGCGACCCCGAAAACCCCCGAGTAACACGTTTTGAGCGAATGCGATGAAGTTAAGAAAAGAATGTCGACCATGTTGGATCCGCTATTTTTAATTTTCTAAATCTGCTGGCATATTTGTAATCAGCGACCCTGAAAACCCCAGAGTAACAAGTTTTGAGCGAATACAATGAATTTGAAGAAAAATGTCGGCCATGTTGGATCCGCCCATTTGAATTTTTGAAATCGGATGTCATATTCGTAATCAGCGACCCCGAAAACCCCCGAGTAACAAATTTTGAGCGATTTTAAGGAGTTTTAAAATTTGTCCACCATTTTGCTTCCGCCATTTTTAATCTTTTAACTCTAATCAAAATCTGAGTTAAGATTTGTATTAAGCCACCCCAAAAACGTTAAAAAAAATTTCGTTCAATTTTTTTCCATGGATTTTGTCATTTTTATTTATGATATTATTTGTGGGTTCATGATTTTGTTGACTTTGTTCGCTTATAATTAAGCCGCCATTTTGGATTTTCAAAAACGCCCACCTGTTATTGAAAGTACACGAGTGTAAGAATTTTTTAAGCCCTTTAACGTTTTTTTTCATTGCGCCAATTTTTGGCCACAGCTCTGTTTCTGTTGACGTGGAACGTCCCATATGCGTTATTATATAATTATTATATATATTATTTTTTATTTATATTTATAATGTTATTATATATATATATATATATATAATTTATATATATGCGTATATTGAAATAAGTGTAAAAGAGTTTAAAAAGGGCAAAAACGGAACTTCTTGACATTTAGTTTTTGCACGCACTGAAAACTTATCTTACTTTTGCTCTATTAATTTCTTAATCCGTTTTTGTTTGCTGCTGATAATTTGTTCCATTTTTCTATTACGACAATTATTTTTTTTACTCTTGCTCTAATTATTTTTTATAATAACCCACTTATGCTATTTGTCCTTCCAAAGTATCAAGCGCGATATTCAAAGTAAATCATTTTTAGTTAAAAATAAGCAAAAACTTAAGGCACGCGGGTCCAATTTTTTTCAAGCACTGTAACTAAATTATTGAGTTGGCCTAATAGTTTTTCTTTAATTATATGAAAAACCTAATTTACAAAATAAGTTCTTTGACAAGGGACACCAGTTATATTCTGAAGAAAATTTGTCTGTTGCAATTTTTCTGATTATTTTGAGTGGTTAGAAATTTTAATTATGATAACCTATATGGAAACATTTACTTGAAGTTAATTACCGCTGTACAGTAGAAATTACATTAACACTTTATAAGTTTATTGTATATATATATATATATATATACTTACAATATAAATATACCTGATAACTATTATGCTGATTGGGTATCTGTTTTCACATTATCTTTCTCACTTCCACTTAGTTTTATTTCTATTTCCACTTGATTAAATTCCTTTCTCTCTTCATTTGTTGAAAATGAAAGAACATTTTTAAAAATATTCTGCTTCATTATTATAGGTAAATTTGTTAACTTTATGTTATATAAACTCTTAGGAACAGTGTTTTTAGATATACGGCAGTAATCACTCGACTAGAAAATCAGTATGAAGTCTCGTTTCTTGCCACGAGACATGACGAACTTTAAAATCCATTTAAGCTTATTGGATCATTCACGTAGAATTAAGGTACACAACCAATCTCGTAAAAAACAATATTTCTTCAATCACTCTCTTCACTGTAACTGGAACAATTTACTAATTTAGTAATGGACGTTAATTCATTCATTACATTTTTTCGTGTTCGTTTAATTATTAGTCACCAAAAACAACAATGATTCTAATTTACATATAGAAAGGGTAGTTTACTTGCAGCTATTTTCATTGATACAATAATTGGTATTCTATTTTTATACTTATTTGATATATAATTCTTCTTCTGTTTTTACTTAGAAAAAGCAGTCTTTAAGTTCGTTTTTTCTTCTTTTCTAAATATCCATTCTTATTTCAGCAATGCTGTGTTAACAGGATCGAGTAAAAAATGGAAATATCTGGGATGGACTTGATACTTTGGTAAATTTTTGTCCTGTATATGAAAATAGCAAATTTATAAAATATTAACTTATTTTAAATAAAATTTTATTAAGTAGTGGTTGTTGATATTTTGAAATTTTATTATTTATTTATTTTGTATAATGAGGTTTAAAGTATTGTAGTTTATAATATTTTCTCTTATCCTCTCTATTTATAATTAAGCTTTGATAAAAAAATCTCCTATTTTCATTTTCATTGAAATGTTGAATGAGTTTTTTATTACAAAATATGTAAAGATAGTAGAACAACAATTAGTTTTTGAGGCAAAATAAAAAGACCAATTTTTGCAGATTTTTTACTTTTTTTTAAAACTTATCGTTGACCTACCTTCAACTTCACATATTTCATTTGAAAAAATCTTATAAATCTAATAAAAGTCCACGACACGATTCATACTTTGTAGTTCAATTTAGTATTTAATGTGCATCCACCATTGGCATAGTTTGTCTCTAAGAGACCTACCTTTTGTTTTGCAGTTTATATATTTGGGGCATTCTACGTCAACGGAAGACCCCCTCTGTCCAAAAATGATTTAGTCTAAAAAAGGTTTAATATGGCTTAAAATTTAGCTCATTATGTAAGCTTTCAAATGCATAGTGGAGGCATTATTCCTGAACTGCCCCAAAAATAAAAAAAAGTTCTTGGATTTCCTTTATACTTTGGAAATATGTTAGCCTAGTAGGTACAAGTTACTACACCAATTTACAGGTCCAACCCCCCACCCCAATCAAAAGGGTGGGGGGTTGAAATTTCAGCTTCAACTCGAACATGCATTCTTTAAACATTTGTAGTTTCTACTTAAATTATTCAATTAAAAAAAGTAAGTAGTGTTTTAGAAAGGTTTTTTTGTGTACTTTTAAAATATTTTATTTATATAATAAAAAAAAAAATTTTTTTGCAAAAATTTTTTAAAATAAATAGTTTTTTGCAATTTTGTGCAAGTTCGGTAGTTTTTATTTTCTTTTTAATAATCTCAAATGAAAGCTTGGGAATTCCCCTAAAAGAAGATATAAGTCTGAAAATGGGCCGAAACATTTTGCCAAAGATATAGTGTAATAAGTAAAATTTGTCCGTCCGCTCGCGCACTCCAGCGCGATGAACAGTGGGATTTTTTTTCAACTTACTATTGAAAATTGTCTAGAAACTACAAATTTTATCGGATGTTGATGTTCTTGATTTAAAATTACTAAGAGGTCCATCAAAGTCGATTTTTGAATTTTTAATTGTTTATTTTTTTCTTGTTACTCAAAAATTTGACAAATTACAATATTTTTAGAAAAAATCATGTTAGTTTTTTTATTTTTCCATTACACATGATCGAAATCAATTTAAATTAATCTAGTATGACCACCGGACAATTAATAAAGCATAATACAATTTATTTAAATTGTTGCAAACAATGTTAATTAACAAATAGATTACTTCGGACCTTCTTCATAAAAAAATTGGTTATTTTGCAGACAAGTTTAAATTTATGTCTAATTTAGTAAAAAACTATTTTACAGTTAAAAATTATCATTAATATTAACAATTATATAAACAATAATCATCTTCCTTTTGTATTTGTAAACATTTTCGTCATTTTTTAAACTTTAAATATTTATATCATATGTACATTCTTTCAAAAAATTAAAAAATTTATTAGCTCAAACAATTACATTTGTTATAGACAAACTTTTCATTTTTAAACAAATAAGTAGCTTTTTTCATCAAACAAAATTTATTCCTTTTTTTATATTTACTATCATAAAAAAGAACTCCTTAATGAAATGGTAATACTATAAATTATTCATTTAATTCTAACGAACATTATAAGTTAAGAAATATTTATATTTTTAATAAAGTAAACCATTATTCAGTTAAAACAGTTTGCATTTAAATGCATATAAATAAATAAATTTTTTCTGTGAAAAAAGAACAAAGTTAAATATTTGTTAACTTATAATATTTATTAAAATTAAATGAATAATTTATAGTATTCCCATTTCATTAAGGAGTTCTTTTTTATGATAGTAAATATAAAAAAAAGGAAAAAATTTTGTTTGATGAAAAAAGCTACTTATTTGTTTAAAAATGAAAAGTTTGTTTATAACAAATGTAATTGTTTGAGCTAATAAATTTTTTAAGTTTTTGAAAGAATGTACATATGATATAAATATTTAAAGTTTAAAAAATGACGAAAATGTTTACAAATACAAAAGGAAGTTGATTATTGTTTATATAATTGTTAATATTAATGATAATTCTTAACTGTAAAATAGTTTTTTACTAAATTAGACATAAATTTAAACTTGTCTGCAAAAAAACCAATTTTTTTATGAAGAAGGTCCGAAGTAATCTATTTGTTAATTAACATTGTTTGCAACAATTTAAATAAATTGTATTATGCTTTATTAATTGTCCGGTGGTCATACTAGACTAATTTAAATTGATTTCGATCATGTGTAATGGAAAAATAAAAAAACTAACATGATTTTTTCTAAAAATATTGTAATTTGTCAAATTTTTGAGTAACAAGAAAAAAATAAACAATTAAAAATTCAAAAATCGACTTTGATGGATCTCTTAGTAGTTTTAAATCAAGAACATCAACATCCGATAAAATTTGTAGTTTCTAGACAATTTTCAATAGTAAGTTGAAAAAAAATCCCACTGTTCATCGCGCTGGAGTGCGCGAGCGGACGGACAAATTTTACTTATTACACTATATCTTTGGCAAATTGTTTCGGCCCATTTTCAGACTTATATCTTCTTTTAGGGGAATTCCCAAGCTTTCATTTGAGATTATTAAAAAGAAAATAAAAACTACCGAACTTGCACAAAATTGCAAAAAACTATTTATTTTAAAAAATTTTTGCAAAAAAAATTTTTTTTTTATTATAAAAATAAAATATTTTAAAAGTACACAAAAAAACCTTTCTAAAACACTACTTACTTTTTTTAATTGAATAATTTAAGTAGAAACTACAAATGTTTAAAGAATGCATGTTCGAGTTGAAGCTGAAATTTCAACCCCCCACCCTTTTGATTGGGGTGGGGGGTTGGACCTGTAAATTGGTGTAGTAACTTGTACCTACTAGGCTAACATAGTTCCAAAGTATAAAGGAAATCCAAGAACTTTTTTTTATTTTTGGGGCAGTTCAGGAATAATGCCTCAGTGGTACTTTTAAAAATTCAAAATGGCAGACCAAATATGGCATTTAATTGAAAACGAAAAGAAAAAAAAGTAATGTAAAATACTTAAAAACTGCTAAATTACACATTTGACATCAAAAATTAAAAATGTTAAGATGGCGAACCAATATGGCGTCAAATCTTAAGTAAAATTTGAAAATTTTGGGCAAAATTCTTCATATTGCCCAAAAGTCAATGGATTCGCCTGAATTTTGTTACTCGGGGGTTTTCGGTGTCGCTGATTACGAAAATGAAGCTTATTTTTAAAAATTCAAAATGGCGGACGAGTTTTACAAAAATTCATCGTATTCACTTGAAACTTGTCACTCGGGGGTTTTTGGGGTCGCTGATTACGAATATCAACTTCATTTTCAAGAATACAAAATGGCGGATTCAATATGGCGACCAAGAAACTTTAAATTTCATTCTATTCGCTGAAATTTTGTATCTCGGGGGTTTTTGAGGTCGCTGAATACGAATATGAACTTTATTTACAAAAATTCAAAATGGCGGATTAAATATGGCAGACGAATTTCTTTAAATTGGTCAAATTCACTGAAAACTTGTTACTCGGGGGTTTTTGAGGTCGCTGGTCACGAATCTGATGATAGTTTTAAAAAAAATTTAATTTCAAATCTCTTGGCGGACAGCAAAATGGAAAAACTTATCTAATTGGTGCCCGGTGTTGTTTATGCATATAATTAGAAAGATAACAAGTGTATATATAGTAGGCGATACGTATATGCACATTCTGTAATTGCCATTAGTGGACCACCGCAAAAGGTAAGTCAATTACTGAAAAGAAAACCGACAGATTAGCTCAGTCGGATAGATGACTCGCTTGGCGGTCGTTTAAGGACCAAGGGTAAGTACCCTTGGTTCGCGCCTATTTGACTTGGTATTTATCCGTCACGTGAAACAATCTGGGCGAGAAAACCCATTAGACGGGTGGTCCAGGCAAATGCGAGTACTCCTAATTTTCAAGTCGCTCTCACGGTGGTCTTGAAGCAAAATAAAGTTTTTCTACGTCGCCAAAAAAAATCATTTGTACAATCTTTTAGAGCGTCATCTCAAGATTCAAAATCAATAAATATTGAAATCCCAGCTGCTCGTCCTTGCGTTTTTTCAACCAATACTGTTTTCATTGAGGTGTACTTGCGTTTGCGAAGGCAAAATATTGGCCCCACTTTACTGTTTTTTTCGCAGTCATAATATTTAAAAGATTAAAAACTGTTTTTGCACCTTAAAATATAATATTTAAACTACAAAAAGAAATAATTGTTTCTATTTTCAACTATTATTTACGATTTGTAGAGGGCGCCAAAGTATGGCGATCTCTAATTCGTAAGATTTTGCGGTGCCCCCGATATAGCCACTCCTGACAGTCTGAAATCAAAAAAACAAAA